TCCCTCGGCCTGGAAGCAGGAAGCTGCCGGGGAGAGGGGATCTGCCCGCCAGCTGCAGAGCGCTCGGATGCCAAGCCCTGAGCCACCGCAGGAGGCGGCCGCGGCAGCGATGTTGGGGCCGCGCTGAGCGTGGGGCGCGATGGCCGAGGAGCCAGCCCCTTTGCTCCTCTGGCCGCGCCCGCCGCCCCCTGCCCCCCAATGGCTCCTCCAGAGTCCGACCGTGCTGCCCCCCCACTTGCCTGCGGGACCCCAGCGGCGGCCCGGCAGGCGCCGCTTTTGAAAAATGTACTGAAGGGAAGCGGCTGCTTCCCCGGAACCCCCCTAGCTATGCTACTGCTTGGCACCACCTCACCTTCCTAGGTTTATCTGCACTGCACCTTTTTACCTCGAGTTAGCTGGTTGCCATTTAGCTTGGGTAGTGAATGTGGCCACTCCCCAGATGTTTGTATTCTGGAACACACATTTAGGGAATGTCCAGACTAGCCTTTGTAAATGTGTTAACTACTTTGAGATAATTGGCAATCAATTAACTTTAGTAAACAAGCCTAATGTTTACTAGTGTACAATCCTGCTGTCATTTTGTAACATACACAAGGGACGTACAAGTGCTATGTATCAAATGGCAGCAGTCAATTCCCAATACAATACTCTACATCCTAAAGTAGTTATTTTCCTAGTGCCGTTCCCTCACTCTGCTTCCTACCAATGGGCATGATCGTGAAGTATCTACAACAGGCGTAGGCAACCTGTGGCACACAAGCTGATTTTCAGTGGCACTCACACTGCCCGGGTCCTAAGCACCGGTCCGGGGGGCTCTGCATTTTAATTTAATTTTAAATGAAGCTTCTTAAACATTTTATAAACCTTATTTACTTTACATACAACAAAAGTTTAGTTATATATTATAGACTTATAGAAAGAGACCTTCTAAAAATGTTAAAATGTATTACTGGCATGTGAAACCTTAAATTAGAGTGAATAAACGAAGACTCGGCACACCACTTCTGAAAGGTTGCCGACCCCGATCTACAGAGACACGAGAAGTGATAAAAGTAGAGTCAATGGAAGCTCTACTTCTGTTATGACTGCAGTATTGAGCCCTAAATAACCAGACAAAGGCCATGTCTATACTATCACTTATGTCAGCAAAATTTATGTCGCTCAGGGGTGTGAAAAAAATATCCCCCTAAACAATGTAAGTTTCACCGGCATAAGTGGCAGTGTGCACAGCGCTATGTCAGTGGGAGAACTTCTCCCGCCATCACAGCCACCAGCACTCCTGGAGGTGGTTTTATTATGACAACGGGAGACCTCTCTCCCGTCAGCATAGAGCGGCTACACGAGTGATCTTACAGCAGCGCAGCTACATCAGTTCAGCTGCAAGCTCATTAGTGTAGACATAGCCTCAGTATTTAAAGGGTTCTCTCATGCACTCAGCAACAAACTGTATTAACTAGTAAACCCGCAAGGTAGGTTCTATGACTACTCCAGCTCCAGGTACAAACAGAAAGTGAAGATAGTTAGGACCTTTTGTATCTGCCATCTGGAATCCATCCTCCTCATGATCCCCAGTGGTTTTACTGCTCTAAATGAATTTGTGGGTCACAAGACAGGGCACATGACCTTCTACAATGGGTATTGTATCATTTCAATTACTGAATGGTATAGTTAAACATTGCATTCATGGTATTTGGGAGGGTAATTGCATTCCGTTTCATTGAGGGATATGGGCATTTGCTATGGGGCTGAGTGCAGGGGCTGTTTTATTTATTCCACGCACATAAAGCAACTCAAGCTTCCAACTGGTCCTGTGTTTGGCATTTCCAGCCTATCTCCTCCAAGCCTAAAGAAAAGCTCCAGAGCATTAGAACAGCAGATAGTGTTGTCAGTACTGATACAGTCAAGAAACAGGAATCTCTTTTTACTCCTTGGTGAAATGGATGGGAAGTGAATTGCATTGAATCATGATGGATAAGCTGCACAGAGCCACTTTGTTCTGGGATGTGTTTGCTTTATTTTACATTTTGAGATGCAGTGTAATTGCTCTCACCTCTGGCTGAATATAAAGTGTAAAAGAAACTTATTCTCAAACCTCTGACATCGAGAGCTAGAACAAGCCTAACAAAATTCTTTATATATCATTGGCTTTCAATACAGGAAACAGATGAAAAAGTCAGTCCAGCTGTTGCTTTTACATTTGACTTTTCCTCTCCTCCACTTTGTGCACCCGAGTCCATGAAATGACACTACACAAGAGAACTGCCAGAAACACTTAGCACTTACTGTCTGATATGGGAGTCCAGAGGTTAAAATGACCCTTCCTTCCTGCCTGGCAATCTGGGAACAACGGAAAAGCCATAATTAACACGGGTAAAAAATACCAATGAAAAATACCTCCCAATCAGATCATATTAAAAAACAAACACATTTGGTGACACAAACTCTCACTCTGTAGGAGAAGTGCTCTCCTACCATGCCAGAAAGCCTCAGACATTAATGAAATGAGCCTCACACCCTTGTGAGATAGGGCAGAGCTATTATCCCGATTTACAGATAGGGAACAAAGACTTGTCCAAGCTCACACAGGAAGTCTGTGGCAGAGCTTATCTCATGACTTCCAGTCCAATTCCTTAACCACAAGACCATCATTCCAGCACAGAGTTTGCTCAGAATGATTGAGGGCCATACTCTTGATTTTCATGATTTGGTAAGATTCATTTGGAATGCTTTGGTAACAAAACAGTCTAGTGAATCTGAAACCAAGATGCTTCACGAAGATGAAAATGTGCCTGATCTCTATGTGATAGAGCAGTATCCCCACATGTAAATGTACTACAGGCTATAGTGATAGAAGGGTCCTACAGTGATAGAAGATTTCCCATGTAAAACCAAGGAGTCGTCCTTGTGGCACTTTAGAGACTAACAAATGTATTTGGGCATAAGCTTTCGTGGGCTAAAACCCATTTCATCAGATGCATGTAGTGGAACATGCAGTAGGTACCTCCCTATAGTACCTCCATATAGTTCCACTCCATGCATCTGATGAAGTGGGGTTTAACCCATGAAAGCTTATGCTCAAATACATTTGTTAGTCTCTAAAGTGCCACAAGGACTCCTTGCTGGTTTTGCTGATACAGACTAACACGGCTATCACTCTGAAACATGTAAAACCAGCACCTCCCCTTAGCTACTGTACATGGATTTAAGTTTCACTGCTAATAGAGACTGCACTAGGAATGGGGTTACTTCTCATCTCTATGCATTGACCTGTATTCTGTTAGAGACCTTACTCTCTCTCTATGTATCCGACCTCAAGTCATTGGGGCCTCTCCTCTGGTTAGGAGTCTGGGAAGCTCCCTCTGGCTCCTATCAACACTAGTCCTTATGCTGGCAAAAGGAAATGCCTAGAGATCAACGCAATGCAGTCTCTCTCCTTTCACCCCAGAATGAGCTGGGCTGTCATTAAGTGTAAACAGGAAAGGCAAAGCTTTAGAAATTAAACTGTGTTTCTTAAAACCACTTCAACTCTCTCTCAGCTACAAACCATTGCATGTTCTTCTTGGGCCCATCCAGCCTAGAGAAACACATTAGAAGAGAGACAAATCCCTGAAGTCATAATCTCCCTTTGCAGTTGATTCATCCATGATTCAGCTAGGTACTATTATCATTATTAAATCGTCAGGAGCTTGCCCATCACATGGAGCATCATAAGGGTGGACTACACAGAGCTTTGTTCTGAATATGTCTTGCCAGAGGGCCCTTTTTTATTCTTACCTTTGTACAGTTACTAGCTACCACCACTACGCTGAGAGAGCCCTCAAGGCCACCCTCTAACATGCTGGATGGTGGCTCTTACCGCAGACAACAAGCTTACTCTCTTAGTAAGGCACAAGTCTCTAGAGAACTGGGGCCATGGGAGTGAAATCCCCAGGTCAGCTCAAACTCACACTGTTCAGTGAGTGTTAGGAAACAGCATCAGGAAATCCACAATGTGACTGGTTGATGGTGAATCACTGCTAGAGCTTATGGCACATTAGTGCCTGCCCTGCTGGACCTTTATCGCTCAATTAAATTACAGGGATTTGCCAACAAGAGAAAAGAGCTCTCTTAAATTCCCTCAGACCTATGTGTATTTCAAGATAAGTCTGAGGATTTCACAGCGGGAACACTCCATTCAGACATCCTGCTGCCACGGTTAATTAGTTCAAGCTTGATAAAGCCCCTTATCTAAATGGCACTGGAAAGACAAGGCAAGTCACACAAAATAAAAATAAGAAAAGCAATATTTTTTCCTGAAATGTTTGTCAGCTTTTGTAACAATGCCTGCCTGAAGTGCACACAGGCCAGAGGAGCCACGTAGGATAGCACCCTTAGACGGAAACCAGTGGGAAACGTAATTCAAGGAGAAGAGCATGTTCTTTCCCCTTCATAGAGAGAAATAAACAAATGTAACTCTGGTACTAACTGGCCAGGAGTCAAGTAAAAGGACAGACACCAAACTCCAGGCTGTAGCAGCAAGCTGGAGTGTGGCCAGTGCACAGCACGCTGGACCGGGAGTCAGGGGACATGGTCTGTTCCCAGCTCTCCCAGGAAATAGAGGGGTGACTTTGACTAAGTCACTTCACCTCTCTGGGCCTCAGCTTCCCGCTCTGTAGAGCAGGGGTAATGAGACAGACCGGTCTTTGTAAGGCGCTTTAAGCTCTCTGGAGGAAGAACGCTGTATAAGAGTTAGCGACTAGTATTTCTTACTTGAAAAGGCACCACATGCCAAAGGGACTGTCCTGTCGTGCTGTGGAGCTACTTTCAATGGCATTAGCTATGGAATAAGAATAGTGTTCTTCAATATGAAAGCACAGCCTAGGTTTGGTAGGTGTTGTACAAGCTTCGTTGTACAGTGTTGTCTATTGTGACAAAGTTCCTCCTCTATCTTGGTGGGTCCTGTGCTTATTGGCGGATTTTCTTGCCTCAGAGATTCACCATGTGGGTTGGGGAACAGGCCAGAGACCTTCCCCTCTGGAAGAACCCACAGTCCAGGTCAATTGGGAGGTTTGGGGGGAACCCAGGCCCGCCCTCTACTCCGGGTTCCAGCCCAGGGCCCTGTGGACTGCAGCTGTCTATAGTGCCTCCTGTAACAGCTGCATGACAGCTACAACTCCCTGGGCTACTTCCCCGTGGCCTCCTCCAAACACCTTCCTTATTCTCACCACAGGACCTTCCTCCTGGTGTCTGATAACGCTTGTGCTCCTCAGTCCTCCAGCAGCACGCCCTCTCACTCTCAGCTCCTTGTGCCTCTTGCTCCCAGCTCCTCACACTCGCACCACAAACTGAAGTGAGCTCCTTTTAAAACCCAGGTGCCCTGATTAGCCTGCCTTAATTGATTCTAGCAGCTTCTTCTTAATTGGCTCCAGGTGTCCTAATTAGCCTGCCTGCCTTAACTGGTTCTAGCAGGTTCCTGATTACTCTAGTGCAGCCCCTGCTCTGGTCACTCAGGGAACAGAAAACTACTCATCAAGTGACCAGTATATTTGCCCTCTACCAGACTCCTGTACCCCACTGGTCTGGGTCTGTCACACTATGCATCTCAATCCACACCTGCACCCAGTTGCTATGCCAGGCCTGAGCACAATATAGCCCTGCAAATGTATCTCATGCTAGCCAGCAACAGTCGTGAGCCTTAAACAACTATAAATACACCTTAGTCCTGACCTGCTGTGCGTTTGCTATATCCCTGACCTGCTATTCCCATCCTAGATCTCTCCTAAGCACACATTCCTGAAAATGAGCATCTGCACCAAATCATGGCAGTAGTTTCATAACACTGACTTATGGACCAGACCAAAACCACCCAACTCATTTGTACCAAGATCTCTAGAGATGAAAGGGTCTTCCTGGATCCTCTCCACCTTCACCCAGAGGCTAAGCATTGACATTCAGACCTTATTTCAATTCTCCACTTGTCTGCTCTGTTTATGTTCTCTCTGAATGGGAGAGAGAAAAGATTGTCTAGCTATCAAGAGTATGGTTTAAACCATAAAAGGACAAGAAATTCAAAGCTGAAGATGAGATTTACAGATTTGACACTCTGGTCTGGCCATGCTCTGCTCAACACAATGACAGAGGAGATCACCTTTGTGCCCCTTGATCCTGGATCTAGTTGAGGGCCACTTCAGCTGCAGAGAGCCACTTATCCTGGCCATCTCCTGACATGTTGGAGTTGCAGGGTAGGAATGGGGAGTAGGCTGGTGTACAATGACTCGCCTGCACCAGGCAAATAATGGGCACCCAGTTCTACCAGCTTTCTGGCTGCTTTACACCACTGCACACGTGATGGGGTGCACTCAGCTCTTGTGAGTGCCTCCCGGCAGCTGAGTGTGGTGCTGCAATCTTTTCTTGGTTCTGGCGCCCCCTGTGGGTTGTTGAGCTCCCTAGGTAGGTCTTCGGTGGCTTGGTCCTCCAGCTAAGTCACCCAGTTAATAGGTGAATGGATGAACCCCTTCCGGGATAACAAAGTTCTACAAATGGTCAGCCCTCACAAAGGTCTTCAGCCCTGTCTCTGGGCCTGTTTAAATTCCAGCCCCTTTCTCAGGCATTTAGTAAAGAGTCTTGTCCACTTTTCGGGACTAAGGCCACTTCCCCAGTGGCCGGTGGGGAGACCAGGGCCCACCCACTACTCCAGGCCCCTGCCCAGGATCTCTATAAAAAACTTCCCTTGATAGTTGCTGCTACTGCCTTCCCTGGGCTGCTTCCTACTTGGTCCCATCTCCTTCACTCGTTACCTTAGGATCACAGGTCTTGGGTTCCCTCCATCTGTTCCCTGGGTCTCCCCAAGCCTCCTTGGCTGGAGAGTTTCACGCCTTCCTACCCCACTCTTCTGGTCCCAGCCAGGAACTGACCTGCTCACTCTGCAGCTCTGGGTTGCTGAGCCTGCTGCGCTCTGATTGGCTGCTTCCCTGCAGCCTTTCTAGGCAGACCATGAGGACCCACCGTCACTGCTCCTTTCCCGGGGTGGGGTGCAGTAGGACAGGGAGGCCTCCAACAGGGGGCCTTAAAGAGCCTGGGACACCCCATCACAATGCAATACACCAAGTTATGCCTAAGCGTGGAAGGTAGCTCTGAAGAGTAGATGATTTTGAACACACAATACTGTCCATTAAAAAAAAGACTCCAGAAAGTTTATAGTGTTTTGCAGGATCCCACAAGCCTCTCATTGGAAATCAATGAACTGGGAAACTAATGCACATTTCCTGTGAGATCCTGCTCCATTTAAAATGGATGGCATTGTAACACCTATAGCAAGTGCTGCCAGCAACAGGGTGATAGGTGAACCACCAAAGGGT